AATAATTAAATTATTATTAAAATAAATTGTAATTAAATTGATAACTAAATCTGAGTTTGTAATGTACATCCCTTGGATAAAGGGACAGGGCAGGGAAGGAAGTAATATTACAGGTGTCTACATCAGAGCTTATTGTCTGAATTGCCATTTAATTGAAAAATAGATACTTATGAAAAGGTCGAATGAGTCACAGTCAGGGGAGGTCTGTTTCTTTCCATTGAGGATAAAAGGAGTCTGGATGACGAGCAATATGTGATGACTGCACTATACTTACCTAGAGCTGGGTAAGAACAAACTTCGCTTTATTCTCATAGGGCTGTACAAATAAGGGCTTTTTAGTGGATAATAGCATTGCTAATCCACTTCTGCCACTATGTGGGCATGAGGGCATCGTGCTGACCACTTCTTCTTGCTTTGGGATGAATTAAAAGCTGACTGAATACAGGAATAACAAAAATTACAGAATGGATTAGCTGGGACAGGTTTTTACCTGTAATGCCACCACATTTGAAGCCAAGGAACTGACTCTGAACATGTGAGATAGCCAGAGTAGTTCACTCTAAGTTACGTATCTACACAGGTACCTCCTTTGTGTTGACTTTCTGATTCATCCTCTGAGTGCAAAGTTGCTTAAAAGTAGGTGACATATTCACACATTTTTATCTTAAATATGCTTACATAAAGTTCAAAAGGCATGATGTTGGAAGACTGGAGATGATAAAAAATAATTTGGGTGAGAAAAGTACTAGAATTGAATCATTAAGACTTAAACTCACAGTTTTCCATTTTATACGTCCACTGGCACAGAAGACTGAAAGGGGCAATACTGTGGCACATACCTTACTGCAACAGACATACCAGTTTGCTTCTCCAAACCTATGCTTTCCATTTTCTTTTTAAAACTTTTGAACTAAATGCCATGTTGAAATTATTTTTTAAAAATATGGAAATTAATGTCATTACAATAGAGAGTACCTATGGTAAATCCTGTGATTCCACTGGGAGTACAGTGAACATGTATTGAAATATTTTTTAACCATGTCTTTGTGAGTAATTTGTTGTAATTATGTAGAGTATCTTGCCAAGGTTTAATTTAACTGCAACTAAAATAACTGCTCTTTGCAATTACAGATCCCCATGGACCATCCTTTACCATTGGAAAGGCAGTGTGGTTACTCTGGGGCTTGGTATTCAACAACTCTGTGCCTGTGCAAAACCCCAAAGGGACAACAAGTAAAATCATGGTGTCGGTTTGGGCTTTCTTTGCTGTCATTTTCCTGGCTAGTTATACTGCCAACTTAGCTGCATTTATGATTCAAGAGGAATTTGTTGACCAAGTGACTGGACTGAGTGATAAAAAGGTAGGTCTTCAGATCAAAAGAGGTCAATGTCCATTTTTCATAATCCTTCTACAAATTTGTACTTTGTGCTAAAAACCACAATTATCTGAGCAAGATAATTGAAAAGTACCTTTATTTTGTGATGAAAATCAATTCCTGTTGGATTAAAAGGAATGCCTCACCAATATACAAAAGTTTCAAAAATGAAAAAGTCCGTTTGAATGCAGGGAAGGCATATTTGAAATTATTTGAACATCTCTGTCTGCAATATTAATAATATATTAATTGACAAAATATTCATAAAACCAGCAACTATCCAGTAATTATCAGAAGCCAGTTAATGCTCCTGAAAAAGTGTCTTTTTGCTTTCTATGTAGTGTGCAAGGAAGTTATAAAAGAGTTCAGATTTAAAGTGGTGCCAGCGCAAATCAGCAAAAAGAAATGATAAAAAGTGATACATATTGTCTGTGAATGTTTGAATGTTTTCCTTGTATAGAATGGCAAGAGTAAATAGGAAAAATAAGCAGATAAGAAAATTTGCGGTTTTCTATTATCACATTGAAGTGTGATGTAAGTTACATGGGCTAAGGCACAGAATTTTGTGTGTTGTTTGTGGAAGATGCTTTCCTAATTCAAGAACTTTTGTGAGAATTTCACTTTGAGCAGTTGACTCTGAGAGTTTGCTTAAACCCTACTCAAGTAGGGTTTCACATAAAACAAATAATAAATATGCTTATTTTTCATATTGTTCTAGCTTGACTGAACTTTCTTCTGCTGCAAGTGTACTTCCCAGATCTTTGTACTTGTGAATTTTAATCAGTAGTCTTATAAATTAGAAACCTAGCAATTACTTCTTTTTTATTTCATTTCTGTGACCGCTTTGTAATAGTGGTATTGCATGGAGGGATTGAAGTCCATTTGCAAAATTATTGTTGTGACTGATATGCACAAAATACATGAAGGGCATGCTGTTTTCAAGTTTGTGCCCAGTTGTTTTAAAATGAAACTAAATATTGACATTAAGAAGTAATATTTAAATAGAGTATAGCACAGGGGAGAACTTCACGAGGGATTTTTCTCAAAGGACAGAAAATAAAGAAAATTTTTATTCAAAAGAAGGCAACAGCTCAGGTAGCCTTGTGTCTGTTTTTTGTTTTAACCACTTTTTACGACCAGCCTTTGGTTGATCTCCTGAAGCATCAAAGCATGAATTGCAAGCATGGCTAGAGGAAAGACAGATAGATAAAAAGAAACAAAAAATGGTAGTAGTTTTGTTTTCATTAAGTTGTGTTGCCGCAAAACCTTTGAAAGAGTATGAAGACTGTTAAATATACCTCTATTTTAAGATAATAGTCTTTCTATTTTAAGATAATAGTCTTAATAAGAGACAGATAAAAGGTATTCTTCTCTTGAGGATTAAAAAAAAGGATTTGAGAAATGTCTGTCTTCTGTTTGTGAGAAAGTACAGAGCATTTTCCTGGGAAGTCTTGGCTTTGGCAGGATTTGGCTTGCACCTGGCACAGCACAAGCATTCGGATCTGCCAGTGCACCCTTATCTTCCTCTTTTTGCTGGCTGTTTGCCAGTCTCACCTATGGGCTGGGAAAATGTCAGTATTTGTTCGCTAATAACTTCCTTATTTTTGTCATTTTTCTATTCTCTCTGCTAAGTAGGATTTTATTTCCACAAAAAGCAAAATAAAAATAAATAGAAAGACACTTGAATCAGAAAATACCATCTGTTTTTTTTGTGGTCTGCTGATCATTTATTTGATCTGCCACCTTTGTTTTTATTTTACAGTTCTTCAAAATTTGCCTGAAGCATATAGAGATAAATTAGGGGAGCCATGCCTTTTCTGATTAAATTAAACAAGCCAGAAAAGCAATGATCTATTTCAAAACATTCTTCTTGTCATACACGGGTTTTGCCTCCTCCACAATCTTGAGGTTTCTCAGATTTTAAAAATTCAAATAATTAAGGATAATTTATGGGAATATAATCTGATTCACGTTAAATTGTTTTTCTCCCCTCTTTGCCTTGTTGCTGGAATGTTGGTAGTAGAACAGTTCAGGAACTTGCAACAATTTTACTGTTGTTCAGTAGAGAACTCTGACCCTTGCTGCAAGCAAAGCGATAATAGGCAAAGGCCAGTGAGAAGGGACAGAAGTATGGGTAAAATTAATTTTAAATAAGTAATATCTAGAAGTTCAATAAATTTTTGAAAAAACTTCTGGGCTGGTGAATCAGTTTACTATTCTTCCCCTCTCCCCTTTTTCCTACTGCCACAACTGAAGAGTCAAGCTCTTTTGTCAATGCTGTATTGTCAATGCAATAAAGTATTCCCAGTTAGAGATACTGGGGTTTCTCAATCCAGCTCCATATGTGATAGACTATAGAGAAGAGAAGCCAGGAAAAACCCCTTCTCTCTTTGAGCATTCACCCCTGACCCTCAGCATTCAGTATCTTCCCATTCAGGAATTGTGTTACACTCTAGCATCTGGTTCACCAGGTTTGCTGAACACATGATAACGTGCTATTTACCCTTCTTCGCTTTAAGACCTCTTGATAGTTTCCTCAACCTTCATAATGTTGCTAATGAATTTCTGAATGCCATGTCATCTATGTGTCACCCAGAAATACACGGCACAGCATGTACTGGAGTTACTGGGGGTGGGCGTTCATAAACTCAAATGATTCAGAAAACGAGAAGAAAATTATATTTTGACATTCTGTGTATGTAAAAGATTTTTAAAAGCTTTGTGTTCATAAAAATGTACAGAAAATGAGTCCAAAACTATCCAGCAAAGCTGGCATTCATAGCACTTGTTACTTTTGAGACCATTTATGCCTTTTTCATGTAATGAGAGAGAGACAAGATTACTAAGGGAGAGTAGATAGCAGTGGACAGAATTGTCTTGCAAAGTGTTTCTCTGCTGTGATTCCTCCACACAGTCACATTTTAAGAAATGTCCCACGTGCATGTGGTCTAGGGGATTCTTTTCAACCTTAATAGAAAGCCTTAATTATGCCATTTACAGGTTCCTTATTTTTGCAAGATTCACAGTATTCTTGTCACCTTGGCTTTATATTTTTGTGCAATCAGGTGTCACAAGTTCTGTAGTTACTTAGAGTTATGTCTGTGTGAAAACAGAGCAGGCTGAGGTCAAAAGGCAGCATGGGTGATGGGATAGTTAGGGTGACCCTCTTACCCCGATCCGTCTCTCCACTTCAATATTAGACCTTTGCAGTGCTTTGTGAGGGTTGTCAGGCATAGATATCGACTGCATTTCAGTAACTGATGATTATAATAACAGTCTTGGAATTACTAATAGCTGTATTTTTCAAAGATCAGAAATCAGATTGTCAGTGTTTTCCATCTGGTAAAAGAAGAAAAGAGAGAGTTCAGATATGGGTGTTTTTCTCTCACTACAAACCAGCCATAATTCCTGTTAAAATCTGTGTTAGCAGAGGGAGAATATTTACTATTTTCTACTCTTTTCGTAATGTTTTCCACAATTCCTTAAAATACTCCAGAACAGTAACAAACAACTGCTCTGAATACCAGCCTTTTCAGGCAAGCATGCAAATCTTCAGATTAAGTCAGTACTTAATGTTTGTGAAAGATCACTTTACTGACTTAATGAAGTTGTCAGTTTTATTAAGGCATGTAGGTAAAACAAAATAAAAGCAAAAGATTGGAGTTTTGTTGCCATGTGCCACGGTTCTAGCAGCTGGCAGAGAATGGGGAAACAAGAACGAATTGGTTAGTCTTCTGAATAACAGTAGATCTCTCCACAATTATGATTCAAGCAGGGGGCTTCTGCATTCAATTTAGGGATTTCATTAACGAATAAAAAAAATTAGCATTTCAGAAAATGTCTAGGAAGAAAATTGCTTCCTAGCAGACATGATATATTTTATTTCCCATCATGGGGCTTCAGGGAAAATCAGTGCATGTAGAGACTTGATCCTTTTTTCTTTCTTGTCTCATGCCTGCCACATAGATCTTTGCTGCAATCGCAGAGCCTATATGCTTCTCCAGGACATGTCAGTTCACAGAATATAAATTTAAAATTATTGATGAGAACATTATACACCTTAGATATGAGTGAACATTATACACCTTAGATATGAGTGCACTGTTAGTAAAAGATTTTATACCCTTTCTTTCTTCTTTACAAGTAGTCTGTGAGCAGGCAGTAGTAGCAGACAATCATTTCAAACAAATTATCTCCTTATGACTGTTAAAACTCATTGGTTCAGTGCCTTGTGCCAAGAAATTCCAGCCTGTGGATGGTGTTTGGAACTATTCATCTGCTTATTACCCCTGTGATCTTTGAATGAACTAGTACTTTTTGTTAATCTCTGCTCTCCTGCAGAAATATTTTTGTGTTCTATGAATGTTCAATTTGGGACAGATATCTCAATTCCTTCAACTATTCCTACGGGAGGAAACTCCTCCCAACATCTTAAACTCATATGAATGTTCTTGAAAAGTGAGAATATTCAAAACCAAACTCCATTTCTAAATTACCAGGATACTCCACCATAATGTCCCTGTTCCCCCAATTCCCCTGCCATACCCCAGGATTAGGAATTGAGCTTGCAGAATGCTCACCACAGCTGAATTTCCAAAAAATGTCAGCTGTATGAGCAGCAGCAATTTTTACAGGTCTTGAAATCGACATTGTTTCTTTAATTATTTTTTCAAGTTCTATTGACTGGAAAACTTGATACAGATATTAGGAGATGTTGGAAGCCTTCTCACTGCTCCAGGGATTCATTATCTGTAGATTTAAATAAAGTTAATAGCAAGCTGCATCTATATCAGTAGAATCTCTGCATGTATATTTAAGAGCAGGGTTTGTTTCAGTGCTGCATAATAAACTCAAAAAAGGAAATAGCAAATATAGACTAAGAGCCATGACTAGTATACAGGGTAATTTTAGTGCACGGGTCAATTAGTATATGTAAAGTAGTAGCAAAGTAATAATTTAAACAGTAAAGCTGCGAAAAGGGAAAATGAGAAAAGTAAGACATCTGTTAGCTGAACAAATAGAGAAAAATAGAGTTCATTCCTTTATGCTTTGTCAAAATATGCTTAATTAAAATGAAGCATTTAATTGTAGTTCTGTAACATGAAAATATTGTTGCAGCAATAATTTCACAGTCAAGGTTTGATGGAATTGAAAATAGTCCCAGTTTTTGTATAAGCCTATTTGTATTCTCTTTGCAAATTGGCACTGGATCCTGGCAATTCTTGATGCCCTGAGAGCAAACTTTAAAAAGAGAAGTATTACATATGTAGACCAAAGGAAGCAGCAGCTGTATAAATATTAGCTGTCTCTTGCAGCACAGGGTATATAGATTGCTCCTCTAACTTCAACAGTAAAAACAGTGCATTTTACTGTGGAATTCATGGGTGACTGCTTTTATCAATGCTCAATTGAATTTCCTCATTAGCCAATAGTTCCTCTAATTTGAGTGGCCTTTTTCATTTATTTCTTAAAGAGGCATTTTAACTTAATCCTAAAGTGTCACTTGGTATTTAAAGGGAGAGATAGAAAAGGTGCATATAAAATTTTCAGGTCTCTTAGCAAAAGTTTATGTGAGATTATCTGAATGATTTCCAAATCTGAAACCCACGTGTGCCCTGAGCTATTGCTATTCCTTTGCAGATAGTCCCTGGCTTGTTTGTTTGTGCTCATGCAATAGTGATATAGAGGATAAAATTGTAGAATAAACCTCAAGCAAATGGTTTTGTAGTTTTAAATTGTAGGAATAAATAGGGACTAGGATTATAGGTGTGAGAGCTCCAGAAGCCCTTTTCATGTAAAGTGATGTAGCTGCTGAGCCCCTGAGGAAGATGCAAGAACTTTTATTCCCCTTGAATCACGGCACTGGAGGGAAAGCCAGCACTCACCCTGTCCCTCCCTGCGCATAAGCTTCCTGCAATCACTTGCACCGGACCAGTGTGTTAGGCTCCCTATCAAGTAGTGCAAATGATCCTTTTGCCTTCTTTGTGTGGGGACCCACAATGTCTCAACTGAGATGAAAGTGTGAAATGACTATCAACAAAATAGTGTTTTCTTTTTTCTTTTGATTGCTGTTTACCAGTGTGTCTGCTTGTAGTTTGGGTTTTCTAGGGAGATGTTGGCAGACGAGGAACATCTTCCAGTACCTCTCTGCTCCAGTTTCTGCTGTCTTGCCATATTACCATGCATGGGAGAAAGTGTGGCAAAATTGAGCTGTTTTTACTTTGGATGTAGATGTTTCTGTAAGTTCAGTCAGTGTGCATACACAGTTTCTGGTATAATAGAGCTGAATTAACCCACAGCATTTGCCTAGAAGAAATTTGAGGCAGCTTATACAACTTCTGGTTTTTTTCAACCTGAAATTGCCCTTCTTCACATTTTGAATGCCTGAAACACTTTGCTTTTCTCTTTTCTCTCTAGTTTCAAAGGCCGTATGATTATTCACCTCCTTTTCGATTTGGAACAGTCCCAAATGGAAGCACAGAGAGGAATATCAGAAATAACTACCCTGATATGCACCTTTACATGACGAAGTATAATCAGAAAGGAGTTGAAGATGCCTTGGTTAGCTTGAAAACTGGGTAAGCTTTTTTCCATGGATTTTAAAGAATAGTGTAGACTTTGCAGAAACTGAAAAATATTGATCTGTACTTACTGTGATACTGAAGAGACTGATGTCAGGCATGCTGTGTAGTACATGGCTGGTTTTTTTTTTCAGCTGCACTGTACAGGTACCAGAAAGGAAAATGATTGCCTGTGATTTGTACGACTATTTTAAAATTGCATGGAAGCTTTGATGTCCTATGTAAAATAGATTCAAAGGGCAGAATTAGTATTTCTCAAATTTAAAGAGAGGTGATACAGATGGACCTGGATTTGGGTGGGGGCTCAACACAGAACACGATGTTTTGTGCAGTCCCTCGTTATCTTTGCAGAACTCTCTTTCATAGGAATGTGCTTTCGCAGGGTGAATTTCTAACAAAGCTTATTTGTCTGGCCAGTATGCAACTACTTATTATTTATTTTCAACTTCCCATCCCTTTGGTATGCTTTTAGGTCCACTCTTACATTTTCTTCCCTCCTCTAATTAGCATGGCCCTGTACATTTACTATCACATCTGAAGTATTGACTTTGATCTTCATAAAATCTGTTGAGATGATATAGTCTCAAATGTACTATCTTAATCTTGCTTCTGGCAATCTTGGTAAATATTCTGGCAAATATCATTGTCCTTCTTCGTTAAGATCTGAGATTTAGACTTGAGTACCATCCATCCTTTTCTCTCTCTGAAGTAACCCATTCTGCCTGATTGTACAGAGAGACTGAATTTTCATTCTTAATCCTCAAAAGGTATGAGAGTGACTCACTACTTGTATCAGTATTCATCTGGGTGACAGGAATGTGTTAGCTCTAGTAATCTTTTCTAAACATATAGGCTTGATAATAGCATGTATATTTTTGTTAATAATACTGGATTACAATAATAATAATTTATCAATATAGTTTGTTTAGGTTTGTTTTGTTTTGAAGTGAGAAAGCTAAGTTACCCATAGTGGATTTAAGTATATCTACTGTAGTGGCTGTTTCAAGGCACATCTCGCCTGCTATTATTTATGGTGAACACAGGACACGTTTCTTCCTATACTAAATTAAGCTTTTTGGTCCTTTTTTGGGAACAACTTGTCCTTTTAATTTTTACTCTCCGTCTCCCAAACATGTAGGGGATTGTAATATATTTCTTATGCCAAAACCCCTGGCCCCAACTCTGTCCCTAGAGTGCCGTTTCCCCTCTTTAAAAAGTTATCCTTCCTACTGTTTCCTTCTTTGCTGTCTCCACGTTGCTGTCTGGATTCCCCCTGTCATCATTTCTCAAGGCATTCTCAACTGGCATTTCTCAAGCACCGTTTGCCCCATCCTAAGATAGACATGTAACATAATGTGAGATGAACCTTGTCCAAGGTCTTCCAAACTGGAGGCAGAGCTCCTGCTCCTGCTCCGACCGAGCCTGTGCAAGTTATATTTCCTGGGTGACAGCTGAATTATGTA